TTTATCTTATTTCTTATTTTGATTTAATTTAATTTAATTTGATTTAATTCAACTTCATCTCATGTTATCTTATCTTATTTTATTTTATTTTATTTTAATTAATTTTATTTTATTTCTTATTTTGATTTTGGTTTTGGTTTTCTTCTTCTTCTTCTTCTTCTTCTACTTTGTTTTTTCCTTCTTTTTTCTTTTCTCTTCATTTTTCATTTTCTCGTCTTTTAATATTTCTATAACCCTTTTCCTCTTCTCACGTTTGCTTCTTCATCTTCTTCTTTTTCTTCTTCTTCTTCTTCTTCTTCTTCTTGGTAGAATTGTTTGCTTGCTTGGTTGTGCAACCCTAAGTCTTCGAAACAGCCGGACGCGCATTATGCGAGAAACGGTGCACACGGTGGCTGCTGTAGCGGCGGTCAACGTTAAAGAGAAAGAAGAAACAGAGAAGAAGAAGAAGAAGAAGGAGGAGGATGATTATATACTTGGATATTTTTGGATCTACACAATATATCAAGTTATCCCATCCCATTTAGTTAGATCTATTAAAAAAGGAAACAAAAAAAAAAGATATAGAGATTATAAACAATATTATATAGTCATAACATACACAGGTATTCAATGATCCTCCTCCTCTTCCTCCTCCTCCTCCTTCCCTTCTTCTTCTTATTATTATTATTATTCATGATTAATATTTATTTTTAAAATACGTATCAACCATTAATCACCCCATTTCCACATTCCCAATCAAATAATTTCTTTTGAATAACAAAGAACAAAAAAAAATTATACAAAATTATACAAAATTAAAAATTATAAAAGAAGAATATTTTCTGTTAATGATGCTTCCAAAAAGAGAAAGAAGAAGAAGAAGAAGAAGAGGTGTATCTTCTTCTTCTTCTTCTTATTATTATTAATATTATTTAGGATTAATATTTATTTTTAAAATACGTATCAACCACTAACCACCACTACTAACCCCCACAATAAAATCGTTTACTTTTCATATACCCTCTTCCCCCTTGTAATTTCTTTCCAAAAACAAAACTGAAGGAAAATTAATAAAATAAAAAATACCATAAAATATAAAAACCATAAAAGAAGAATATTTTTTGCTAATGACGCTTCCAAAAAGAAGAATTAGAATTAGAAGAAGAAGAAGAAGAAGAAGCGTAATTCAAATCAGCGATGTAACACACGCCCTATGAAGATAATGAGTCGCACGTTTCGAACTCTAACGACATGGTCGTATTAAAAGAGAGGAAAAAGAGATAGTAAAAGACACAACAACAACAAAAAAAAAAAGAAAGAAAGAAAGAAAGAAAAAGAGAGATAGAGAGAAAGAAAGAGAGAACTAGGGATGACGAAGAGATGGAGGTTACCAAGCAGAGAATAATCAACGGGAGGCAAAAAATTCGGTACGGCTTTCGATACGCACCAGGGACGTTTCTCTTCCATATGTTTTATGCTCGTAAAACTGTCCTCTCTTATATACCACTCCTCTTCTCTTCTCTCCTCTCACCCTTTTCTCTCAACCTTCTATTTCTCTTTATAATGCATCGACAAACGTTAAATATCTATTCGTTCGTTCGTTCGTTCGTTCGTTCGTTCGTTCGTTCGTTCGTTTGATCAAACCCCCTTCTTCTTCTCAAACGTCTTTTCGATTCTTCATTCTAAAGAACTTTTTGTTTGATAAATAAAAAAATAAAAAAAGACAAGAATTAATCATTCTGTATGTGTATACATATATGTGTGTGTGTGTATGTGTGATATATGTTCTCTAAAATAATCAATGACGACAATGAAGAATGACCAATGTAAGATTAGCCTTTTAAGAATAGTTGATGAAGAAAGGTTTGCCAAGAAAAACAAAAAGAAGATATTTTTAATGAATAATAATAATTAACACTTTGACTGCCATGTTGGTCATTGGTTGGACCAGAGCGTATGAACCTTTTACAATTGTAAAAATACTCAATGAAAATTGAAAATTAATGTATATTGAATATGACCGATATAGAAAACGGTGTCCTATTGAACAATTACAATTTTTAATTAACATCAATTTATTATTATATTGAATAATAAAAGTAATGCTTTGGTGTCCTAGGTTAAACATATGATTTCGGCGTGATAGTCAAAGGGTTAATACACTCTACTTATATTACAGCATAATTTAACACTCGAAGACATCACTGCTCATGAACAATAAATTAATTACATTAGAATAAATAAAATAGTAAAATCTGAACGTTATAATATTAATTTTTCTTTATTAGAATTATTATTACCGTTGGACACATGCTCGACATAACAAAAAGAAATATAAACAACTTTCTAATCAATGTTTTGTTATAAAGAACAACGGCTCAGTCTATAAGTGAATTTCGAAGAAGAAAGTACTCCAAAAATATATTTCATAATTATTTATATTATTAATTAACAATTATATTAATATTTTAACATTTTGACTGGCATGTTGGTCATATATATGACTGGCCATGGTTTCTCC